TGCTGCTGCTGTCACCATCCTAGAATCTCACCACTCAGATCGAGAAGGACGCTGCTGCTGTTGCTACTGCTGTGCCAACAAAGTCGAACAACACGGACGTTCAGAATCGACGCCTTTCATTCGAGACCCAAACACCATCATGGCACACATGGCAAACACCACCACGGCACATATGGCAAACACCACCACGTCACACGTGGCAAACACCACCACGTCACACCTCCTCCTGCCTTTGACATTCCACCTCCTCGTAGACGCAGCTGGGGGAGCCACCAACAGCATCAACATGTCATCACCAGGCCGATGCGCGCACATCCCCTTCATGAATGTGAATTTAAGACACAAGCCACCGTAGGGCAATTGCGGTCAAGCAACCCAAAACCATGGACGGTATCGTAAGACCCATGGCGGCACATGGAGAGAGAGAGAGGCAAATGGAGACACATCGAGACACACAGACGAAGTACGCAGAAATACGCACACGGGACGTAGAGACCCACGGGGATACGTAGAGACTCATCGACATGCCAACAGTGCCGGGATTCTCTCTCCTCTCTCTCTCCTCTCTCTCTCTCCTCTCTCTCTCCTCTCTCTCTCCTCTCTCTCTTGCACGACGCCTGTGGACCGCGCCGAACCGCGTCACGGGAGACGCGAGTCGTACCGCGTCGCGACGTCAATGGACAAACACATAAATCGCAGAATCGCCAAACTGCGACCGTGGTGAAAGCCCGAAATCACCAAACTCATCACCGACTCGTGCCGCCATCCACGGCACACACCCTGGCGGCATCGCCGCGGTCCCTGCGACGTCTACCGCCGCCTCGGTTGGAGGACCTTGACATTCAACGATGACATCTACACAATGCGTTGCTGCGACCCCCACCCCTCCATGCCATACGGTAGAAGAATAGGAATGCAGAGAGACCCACAGAGAGACCCACGACATTAAAGACACGCGCACAAGTAGTACGTCTGTGGCCATGCCACCCACACTATGGACGACACAGTGAACCCATAAGCTGATAGATATACATAGAGACTCATAGAGATACATAGAGACTCATAGAGATACATAGAGACTCATAGAGATACATAGAGACTCATAGAGATGTATAGAAACTCACAGAGACCCATAGAGACCCATAGAGACCCATTAAAGACACGCGCACAAACAGTGCGTCTGTGGCCATGCCACCCACACTATGGGCCACGCGGTAAATCAACGACTTTAGTCTCCGCTGCTTCATGGGAGGAGGAAGAACAAAAGGACACGAACTCTCTCTCTCTCTGCAAGCCCTCTCGTCGTGACCAGCAGATTTAAAAATGATCGCTAATAAAGCCACGACGCGTTGAACAGATCTCGACATTATCCATAATAAATCCGAATGTGTTCGACAGATCTCACACATTCAGACGCTGTCTTTCTGACAGACCTGTTCTTCACCTGAGGACGGCTGCTTGCGTTGTGGCCGAAACGTCGTGAGAATTGTATTTTATTATGTTTTATTTTTATTATTTTATTATTTCCATTCTACGTGACTTTACCGAAAGAACCAAGAAGAGGAGATCTCACACATTGACATATCGATCTCCTGGCCAACTGTCGGGCAGCGTGGCCAGCGGGGTGGGGGGGAGGAACTCTTTAACGTTGCTCTTGCAGCAGGAGGCGCGCTTCGGTAGTGACGGCGGGGTTCGTGGTGGCGGGTTCGTGGTGGCGGCGAGCGCGGCGCGTGGACAGTGAACGTCGCGCCGGGCGCGGAGTGAGAGTCGCCCACGAGAGAGAGAGGGAGGCCAAGGGACTCAGCTCTCTCTCTCTCGCGCTCTTAATTAAAAATGTGAAATTACAACACGCGGAGCCCACTCCCATTACTACAACAACAACAACAGCGGCAGCAGCAGCAGCGGCAGCCCCACGCGACACGCGGAGGCGCCTTGTTGACTTTACCTGGGGGCACCGAGAAGTCGCGAGAGCCGGAGCTGCTGCTGCTGCTACTGCTGCTGCTCCTGCTGCTGCTACTGCTGCTGCTGCTCCTGCTGCTACTGCTGCTGTTACTGCTGCTGCTGCTCCTGCTGCTGCTGCTCCTACTGCTCCTGCTGTTACTGCTGCTGCTACTTCTGCTGCTGCTGCTCCTGCTGCTGCTCCTGCTGCTGTTGCTGCTGTTGCTACTGCTGCTGCTGTTACTGCTGCTACTGCTGATGCTACTGCTCCTGCACCTGCTGCTGCTCCTGCACCTGCTGCTGCTCTGGCTGCTACTGTTACTGCTGCTGCTTCTGCTGCTCCTGCTGCTCCTGCTGCTACGGCTCAGCCAGGGGAAGCGCGGGATGGCCACATCACGTAGCGTGTGTGATGGGAGTGTGTGTGTGATGGGAGTGTGTGTGATGGGAGTGTGTGATGGGAGTGTGTGTGTGATGGGAGTGTGTGTGTGATGGGAGTGTGTGTGTGATGGGAGTGTGTGTGCGTGTATGTGTGTGATGGGAGTGTGTGTGCGTGTATGTGTGTGATGGGAGTGTGTGTGCGTGTATGTGTGTGATGGGAGTGCGTGTGTGATGGGAGTGTGTGTGTGATGGGAGTGTGTGTGCGTGTATGTGTGTGATGGGAGTGTGTGTGTGTATGTGTGTGATGGGAGTGTGTGTGTGATGGGAGTGTGTGTGCGTGTATGTGTGTGATGGGAGTGTGTGTGTGATGGGAGTGTGTGTGCGTGTATGCGTGTGATGGGAGTGTGTGCGTGATGGGAGTGTGTGTGCGTGTGTGTTGGTGTGTGACGGGAGTGTGTGTGCGTGTATGTGTGTGATGGGAGTGTGTATATAATGATGGGTGTGTGTGTGATGGGTGAGCGTCTGTGCTCGTGATAGTGGGACCGTGGCCCAGTGGTTAACACACTGCGCTACGAACCCGGCGACCCGAGTTCGATTCCCGCTCACGACAGACATTCGTGAGCGAGCCATATCTGAACCGGTCCTGAGCCTCCTTTAGGTCGACTGAGCCTTAAACGATGTAAACACCGGCACTGAGACCAGGGCGGCCACGTGGTTCGAGCTACAGCAACTCCTGGTGCCCTTGAAAGGTGCTCGCCTACAGGGTTCGCCTCGACAGCTCGGAGGAAACCGACGATGAGCTACGAATCTCGTGTTTCCACAGCAGGCGTCCAGTGTGGACGGGTGAGCGAGTTGCAACAACGGGCGATGCAAAAAGGCGACAGAGCAACGGGTAGCAGCTCTGCCTTTGTGCGCGATGGGAGTGTCTGCGTGATGGGAATTCCTGGAAAGATCTGGACAGTCCCATCGGTGAGCTCCTGCGGTAGGCTGCGCTGGCTGGGGCATGTAGCCTGCATGACAGGCGGGCTGGGGTGGTACAGAAGGATGTGGAGCTGAGTGAGCGGTTCCAGCGGTGTCAAGATCGGCCTCTGTGGGAGCAAAGCTCGTCGAAGACGCTACTGGGCAGCTGATTGCAGCCGCTCTTCTAGCAACATCGGAGGGCGGACGAGTGACGCTCACAACAACGAGCGCTCGGAGCGCCGGGCAGATAAAACGCAGAATGTTGTTGGCACAGTGGGGAGCACAGGTGGTGCATCTGCCAGTCATCTCAGTCAGTCAGCCCATGGCACCTGCAGGGTCTGACCTCCTACGAACAAGCATTGGATGTGGTATCAAAGTGCACCTAGCCTGGCACTACTAAGCGCTGTGGTGATGTCACCGCCACTTAGTTACGAATGGCGGATGTCATTGTTGAATGGCGGATGTTTTACAGGAGGGCGGTGGGGAGCGGCAGTGTAGTGGTTAGCGCTGCGCTGCGCTACGAACCCGGGCACCCGAGTTCGATTCCTGGGGGGCTATGGCCAACACCGGTGACGATTATCTGAACCGACTCTGGGCCTCCCCTAGGTCGACTCAGCCTCAAACGAGTACCTGGTGCGGTGTGTAAACATCGCCACTGGGGAGACAAAGGCGGCCGGGCGTGGTGCTGGCCACCCACCCCTCCCTCGTGTGCCACAGTGCCGGTAGCCTTCACAGGTGCTGCGACTCGCTACTAACAGCACTTGCCCCACAGCCTGCTAGAGGCGGCGAGGGACGATGCTGAGTTGGTGGTGGGTGGTGGGTCGAGGCGGGTTTGCCCCACGACTCGCTGACGGGGTGAGGCAGCGGGAGAGAGGGGGGGACAGAGGGGGGGGGGCAGAGGGGGGGCTGCGTCTCTGAGAAGTGTGTGATGTGTGATGTATGATAGGTGATGGGTGATGGGAGTTTGTGATGTTTGTGATGTGTGTGATGTGTGATGGGAGTGTGTGATGGGTGATGTATGATGGGTGATGGGAGTTTGTGATGTGTGATGGGAGTTTGAGATGCGCGTGTGTGTGTTTTGGGGGTGGGGTGTTGATGGAGGTGGGGGTTGGTGCCACGGGATGGACATCAACGGAGTCGCGTGGGGGAGGGAGGAGGGAGGAGGGAGGGGAAGAGGGGGTGGGAGGAGGGAGGGAGGGGTGGGGGTCAACTCCCCGCCCGCACCCCCACCCCGCTCACCTCCCTGCCCCCGCCCTGCGCTCACCCATTGGTCAGCTCATTTGCATAATCTACCCCCCCCCTCACCCCTGTGTCGCTCTCTGGCCACGGGCCAATCACGCAGCATGTGCCGGGGGGGGGGGGGGGTGGAGGGGGTGGTGGGTGGGGGGTGGTGGGTGGGGGGTGGGAGTTACGGAGAATTTGGGGTGGGGGAGGGGGCCTATGGCCATATCACTGAGACCCCCCCCCACCCCCCACCGCCACCACCGAGTTCACCCGCTCGCTAGTCACCCGGCGGCAGCAGCAGCAGCAGCGTCACAAGGCAACTCCGCACCCGCCTTTGTCTTCTCCCCTTCCCCCCCTCCCTCCCCTCCCTCCTCCACTCCCGCCCTCTCCACCGCCCCCACCCACCCCACCCACCGCCCGGGCCCCGCCCTGCTGCGCGGCCCGCTATGATTAATCACCGAGCGCGTTATTGATCTTCATAATCAGCCTGACATGCAAGCGGCGGCGGCGGTGGAGGTGGTGGCAGCAGCGGCAGCGGCCGCGCCGCGCGTCTCGACGTGACATTGTTTTCATTTTGGGCGAAAGTCGGAGACGGAGCGGCGCTCTTCCTCATGCTCGCCGACGCACGGCGCCCAACAGCAGCTACAGCTACAGCAGCAGCAACAGCAGCAGCAGCAGCTACAGCAGCAGCTACAGCAGCTACAGCAGCAGCTACAGCAGCAACTACAGCAGCAACTACAGCAGAAGCTACAGCAGCAACTGCAGCAGCTACAGCAGCAGAAGCTACAGCAGCAACTGCAGCAGCTACAGCAGCTACAGCAGCAGAAGCTGCAGTAGCTACAGCAGCTACAGCTACATCAACTACAGAAGCAGCTACAGCAGCTACAGCAACAAATACAGCTGCAGCTACAGCTACATCAACTACAGAAGCAGCTACAGCTACATCAACTACAGAAGCAGCTACAGCTACATCAACTACAGAAGCAGCTACAGCTAAAACAGCAGCAGCTACAGCAGCTACAGCTAGAACAGCAGCAGCTACAACAGCAGCTACAACAGCAGCTACAGCAGAAGCTACAGCTAATACAGCAGCTACAGCTCCAGCAGCTGGAACAGCAGCTACAGCTCCAGCAGCAGCAGCAGCAGCATGTCCCGGCGCAAGCAGCACAAGCCGCTGCAGCTGGTGCCGCACGTGGCGAGGCAGCGGGGCGGACGCGCAGCGCGCGGTAGGGCAACACCAGCCGCACTCACCACTCACTCACTCACCACTCACTCTACACTCACCACTCACTCACCACTCTACACTCACTCACCACTCTACACTCAAAACTCACTCACCACTCACTAACTCACTCACCACTCTACACTCAAAACTCACTCACCACTCACTCACCACTCTACACTCACTCACCACTCTACACTCACTCACCACTCTACACTCAAAACTCACTCACCACTCACTAACTCACTCACCACTCTACACTCAAAACTCACTCACCACTCACTCACCACTCTACACTCACTCACCACTCACTCACCACTCACTCACTCACCACTCTACACTCACCCACCACTCACTCACCACTCACTCACCACTCACCACTCACTCACCACTCACTCACCACTCACTCACTCACTCACCACTCACTCACCACTCACTCACCACTCACTCACTCACTCACCACTCACTCACCACTCACTCACCACTCACTCACTCACTCACCACTCACTCACCACTCACCACTCACTCACCATTCTACACTCACCACTCACTCACCACTCTACACTTACCACTCACTCACCACTCACTCACTCACTCACCACTCACTCACCACTCACCACTCACTCACTCACCACTCTACACTCACTCACCATTCTACACTCACCACTCACTCACCACTCTACACTTACCACTCACTCACCACTCACTAACTCACCACTCACTCACCACTCACTCACCACTCACTCACTCACTCACCACTCACTCACCACTCACTCACCACTCACTCACTCACTCACCACTCTACACTCACTCACCACTCTACACTCAAAACTCACTCACCACTCACTAACTCACTCACCACTCTACACTCACTCACCACTCACTCACCACTCACCACTCACTCACTCACCACTCTACACTCACTCACCATTCTACACTCACCACTCACTCACCACTCTACACTTACCACTCACTCACCACTCACTAACTCACCACTCACTCACCACTCACCACTCACTCACTCACTCACCACTCACTCACCACTCACCACTCACTCACTCACCACTCTACACTCACTCACCATTCTACACTCACCACTCACTCACCACTCTACACTCACCACTCACTCACTCACCACTCACTCACTCACCACTCACTCACCACTCACTCACCACTCACCACTCACTCACCACTCTACACTCACTCACCACTCTACACTCACCACTCACTCACCACTCACTCACTCACCACTCACTCACCACTCACTCACCACTCACTCACCACTCACTCACCACTCACTCACCACTCTACACTCACTCACCACTCTACACTCAAAACTCACTCACCACTCTACACTTACCACTCACTCACTCACCACTCACTCACTCACTCACCACTCTACACTCACTCACCACTCTACACTCACCACTCACTCACCACTCTACACTCCTCACCACTCTCACTCACTCACCCCACTCCACTCACCATCTACCCCTCCACTCCCACTCTACACCACTCACCACTCACCCACTCCACTCACTCACCACTCTACACTCAAACTCCTCACCACTCCTAACTCACCACTCACTCACCACTCTACACTCACCACTCACTCACCACTCTACACTCACCACTCACTCACCACTCACTAACTCACCACTCACTCACCACTCTACACTCACCACTCACTCACCACTCTACACTCACCACTCACTCACCACTCTACTCACCACCACTCACCACTCTACTCACTCACCACTCTACACTCACCACTCTACACTCACCACTCACTCACCACTCTACACTCACCACTCACTCACCACTCACTCACCACTCTACACTCACCACTCACTCACCACTCTACACTCACCACTCACTCACCACTCACTACCACTCTACACTCACCACTCTACACTCACCACTCATCCCCATCACTCACCACTCACTCACCACTCTACACTCACCACTCACTCACCACTCTACACTCACCATTCACTCACTCACTCACCACTCTACTCACTCACCACTCTACACTCACTACTCTACACTCACTCACTACTCACTCACCACTCTACACTCACCACTCACTCACCACTCACCACTTACCTCTCACTCACCACTCACTCACCACTCTACACTCACCACTCACTCACCACTCACTCACCACTCTACACTCTACACTCACCACTCTACACTCACCACTCTAAACTCACCAACTCTACACTCACCACTCTACACTCACCACTCTACACTCACCGCTCTACACTCACCACTCTACACTCACCACTCTACACTTACCACTCACTCACCACTCTACACTCACCACTCTACTCACTCACCACTCTACTCACTCACCACTCACTCACCACTCTACTCACTCACCACTCTACACTCACCACTCACTCACCACTCTACTCACTCACCACTCTACTCACCACTCACTCACTCACCAACTCACTCCCCACTCACCAACTCACCACTCACCACTCACTCACTCACCACTCACCAACTAACCACTCACCAACTCACCAACTCACAACTCACCACTCACTCACCACTCACCAACTCACTCACCACTCACCAACTCATCACTCACTCACTCACCACTCACTCACCACTCACCACTCACTCACCACTCACCAACTCACCACTCACTCACCACTCACTCACCAATCACTCACTCACCACTCACTCACCACTCAATACTCACCCACTCACTCACCACTCACCACTCACTCACCACTCACCACTCACTCACCAATCACTCACTAACCACTCAATCACCACTCACTCACCACTCACTACTCACTCACCACTCACTCACCACTCACCAACTCACCACTCACTCACCAATCACTCACTCACCACTCACTCACTCACCACTCACCACTCTACACTCACCACTCACTCACCAACTCACTCACCACTCTACACTCAACACTCACTCACTCACCACTCTACACTCACCACTCACCAACTCTACACTCACCACTCTACACTCACTAACTCTACACTCACCGCTCTACACTCACCACTCTACACTCACCACTCACCGCTCTACACTCACCAACTCTACACTCACCACTCTACACTCACCACTCACCACTCTACACTCACCACTCTACACTCACCACTCTACACTCACCAACTATACACTCACCACTCACCACTCTACACTCACTAACTCTACACTCACCAACTCTACACTCACCGCTCTACACTCACCGCTCTACACTCACCGCTCTACACTCACCACTCTACACTCACCACTCACCACTCTACACTCACCACTCTACACTCACCACTCTACACTCACCACTCTACACTCACCACTCTACACTCACCACTCTACACTCACCAACTCTACACTCACCACCTCTACACTCACCACCTCTACACTCACCACTCTACACTCACCACTCTACACTCACCACTCACTCACCACTCTACACTCACCACTCACTCACCACTCACTCACCACTCTACACTCACCACTCTACACTCACCACTCACTCACCAATCACTCACCACTCACTCACCACTCTACACTCACCACTCACTCACCACTCTACACTCACCATTCACTCACTCACTCACCACTCTACACTCACCACTCTACACTCACTACTCTACACTCACCACTCACTCACTACTCACTCACCACTCTACACTCACCACTCACTCACCACTCACCACTTACCTCTCACTCACCACTCACTCACCACTCTACACTCACCACTCACTCACCACTCACTCACCACTCTACACTCTACACTCACCACTCTACACTCACCACTCTAAACTCACCAACTCTACACTCACCACTCTACACTCACCACTCTACACTCACCGCTCTACACTCACCACTCTACACTCACCACTCTACACTTACCACTCACTCACCACTCTACACTCACCACTCTACACTCACCACTCTACTCACTCACCACTCACTCACCACTCTACTCACTCACCACTCTACACTCACCACTCACTCACCACTCACTCACTCACCACTCACTCACCACTCACTCACTCACCAACTCACTCCCCACTCACCAACTCACCACTCACCACTCACTCACTCACCACTCACCAACTAACCACTCACCAACTCACCAACTCACAACTCACCACTCACTCACCACTCACCAACTCACTCACCACTCACCAACTCATCACTCACTCACTCACCACTCACTCACCACTCACCACTCACTCACCACTCACCAACTCACCACTCACTCACCACTCACTCACCAATCACTCACTCACCACTCACTCACCACTCAATACTCACCCACTCACTCACCACTCACCACTCACTCACCACTCACCACTCACTCACCAATCACTCACTAACCACTCAATCACCACTCACTCACCACTCACTACTCACTCACCACTCACTCACCACTCACCAACTCACCACTCACTCACCAATCACTCACTCACCACTCACTCACTCACCACTCACCACTCTACACTCACCACTCACTCACCAACTCACTCACCACTCACCACTCTACACTCAACACTCACTCACTCACCACTCTACACTCACCACTCACCAACTCTACACTCACCACTCTACACTCACTAACTCTACACTCACCGCTCTACACTCACCACTCTACACTCACCACTCACCGCTCTACACTCACCAACTCTACACTCACCACTCTACACTCACCACTCACCACTCTACACTCACCACTCTACACTCACCACTCTACACTCACCAACTATACACTCACCACTCACCACTCTACACTCACTAACTCTACACTCACCAACTCTACACTCACCGCTCTACACTCACCGCTCTACACTCACCACTCTACACTCACCACTCTACACTCACCACTCACCACTCTACACTCACCACTCTACACTCACCACTCTACACTCACCACTCTACACTCACCACTCTACACTCACCACTCTACACTCACCACTCTACACTCACCACTCTACACTCACCACTCTACACTCACCACTCTA